AGGAAACATCATTCCACGTCCTGTGCCAATGTGAAGGCTTGGCTGGAATGAGGTTTCTAACATTGGGCGAAGAAAAGCCAATTGCATGGAACTACATGCGGGAGCCACTGTCAAAGCTACTAAGTCTAATAAAAAAGACCAGGCTAGACGACATACTCTAAAACAAACGGAGTCCCACAATAGATCTGAAAAGGTCGCGGTGGACAAGGACAAATAACGTCCAACTCCTAATCTAATCTAATCTAAATCTAATCTAACAGCAAAAGAGTTGAAATTGTAGGTTGGTGATAAAGGGAGGCCAACATCTAGGTAATAAATGTTTATCGAGTTAGGAAAAGTATCCACTGTAAGCGCTTTTCTTGACCACTGAGGTAAAAACGAGAATATTTCCTTATATACAATTTCTTCGCTAGGCAAAATAAGAAATAAATTTGTAAGAGTACTTCCCAAGTGTTTTTCCAAAAGCTCTAAAAGCAAAATTGACAAAAATGGCCTAATCCAAGTTTAAATTCTAAAACTTGAACATTAAAGATAAGTATCTTACTGTAAAATAAGTAAAACCCCTTTGTTGACTAAATGGTTGAATAATTCATTACCTACGTGAAGGTAGAATAGGGATTAAAGTTTAGCAGAAAAAGCCACTAGAAAAGGTGAACAAAACAGACTGGGGCATATGAACGACAAGCAAATATTGTAAATGCAAATAATGTGTACTGTGATTAAATAAAAGTGTACAAGGAATAAAGTTTTAATATTTTCTTATCCATATATATGAGTGATATTTATTTTTAATACTAGACAAACGGTTATGGTTTTGTTGCTAGTCTCATTAAAAAATAAAATTAAGTGAGTATTGATGTTAAATATTTATTATTATAAGAACTTATATACAGTATGTTCATAATGTGTACTATACAAACTTAATATCATTCCTGAATTCATTTCAAGCATAAAATGTTCTATGAACAAATATATTAACATAGTATGCCATGTGTTGGAATATGTCGAAACACAGCACTGAATGTTTGGTGCCTTGGAACTTGTTGGTATGGAAATTGTCACTGATACTTCATACAAGCAGCTCGCGAATATTCATGACAAAATCAATAAAGGTACACTATTTTGGCATATTATTAATTTAAATTTACCATAAAAAGAAAACGTAGTTGACAAGTGTAGTACTGAGTAGCCAACTGACGTTTATAATTATTGTTGATAAAAAACCAAAAGTTTTGAAAATGTGATATTTAAGTTTGTATAGTGCATCTTGCAACATTTTTTTTAATAAATGCCCCAAGTAAAGAAACATTTACGATTATTACAATCTAATCATTAAAATCAATTAGAAATTTTATTCTAACTTATCAAGGGATGAAAAACTTCACAAATTGATATTCTACTATCTAGTATACCTTAGAGTCTAAATCACTTAACTGCACTATACTATGCTTTAACATCACTGAACTAACTCAAAAGGCTTGGTCTCTTGAGTCTTCTTATTAGATTTGGCATTGTTGAGGAGCTGGATAATCTCGAGGTTTCCATGCTGGAACAGTTATTGTTGGTGACTACTGGTAAATTTTTGTATTGTATTTTCAACAGTCTCCACTTTAAGGTCCCTATGAAGATCAGTATTGTGGCAGTACCAGGGTGCATTGACGATGTTACTTAATGCTTTATTCTGGAACTGTTGAATAACTTTGATGTCACTTTTCTGGCACATCCCCAAAGTTGGCGAATCGCTTCATTTTCACCAATTCCTTTAAATGCACTAATCTGAAACAAATTATAGGTGATTAAAAAGGTATATTAATATTGTTTTAAATTAACTATAATAAAACAAACAATACTCATGCATACACAAAACATGAAGCTCTACTTTTTAATCAGCTGTAGAACTAATAAATAAAATTGGTGGAAGGACAGCAAATGTAGGTTATATTTAAATAGAAATAAGAATATAAAATGCCTATAAATTTGATAAACGAAATGGCGTATGATTAATGTACTTCTCAAGAAAATGCTTGAAACATATACTGCTGAATTTAGAAGGTTACCAATTATACTTGTTGACAAACTGTATCCACGCGCTACGTTTTTTTAGGATTTTTTGGAAATCTATAAATATTGTTTCGTATGAAACACATTTTATACAAACGTGTCATAATACTGTCCTGTATAATATTTATAATTTTGATACTAACCTATGAAACGTTATTCCAGTCGATTTTTCACAAAAAAGTCTATCGCTAGAGCATGTGGCAGGAACGTATAACACACCAAGGCATTATATACTGTCACGGGGTGGTCGTCAGCCTAGGGGGTATTGTAGCTCAGATTTTATCTGACGACGCCACCACGAGCTCTAGCTCGTCACGCTATATTCTGAGTAGCCCGGAATTTGAAAATTTGAATAAAGTCCGCTCAACCCAAAATACAACCTGGAGAGGGGTATTTATTTACTTTTAAGTTACTTAATTACTGCTTAAGGAAGAAGAATTAAAATTACTAATTATAAAAAAATATTTATTAACATATCCAATAGTTATTATTTACATACACAAACAATATAAATGGGAGATAAACTAGGAACCAAATTTAAAATATAAGTTTACTTGACAAAATAACTAAAAAATTATTATTTCTTACCACATTAAATTTCCCTGTGGGGGCACGTTCACGAACTCTCAAACTACTTAATTATTAGTTTATTTTATTTTATTACTTGAAATTTTTATTTTTTAAATAATAGTAGAGCTGAGCTCTTTACTGTTACCCAGGCCTAACCTGAATGAATCTTTCTTGTCAGAACATTTACCTTCAAGACTCATCTGCTGATTTTGCATCTTTTTCCAGTTAATTCACCTATTTGATTTTTACACATAACAAATTGTTAAATCAGCAAAATGAACAGATTTTATTATTGTTTAACATGAAAGGAAATATCTTATAAAGACTAATAAATTATTTACATTAATTTGCTTGAGAATAAAAGTATTTTATTACAAAATTATTATATTACTGAAATTTGAAATAGAGGTAAATGTCCTATGTTAGGTGAATTTATTAAATAATGTGAATTTATAAAATTTGGAAAATATTTATTATTTGGAATTTGTGACAATACTTTGTAACACTCAAAATTTGCTCAAACATAAATTAAATTCAAATTTAATTACACAAATGACAGTAAAAATATAACCTATAAAATTGACAATTTGCACTTACCGTAATAGGGGCGTTTGATTTGAAACTCGATCGAGCGAGCGTCGAGGAGAAGTGATGACGTCACAATAGAGCTTTGAATCAAATCAAATAAAACAGAGTAAAAAACATAACCTCGCTTTTTTGTGATTCTTGTTTCTGGTTTGTATGTTAAAATAGTGAGCAAAAAGTAAAGAAAATGGAAAAACTTTTAATAATAAGGGGTAATGGCCCTGAAATGCAGCATTTACCACGAATGCCCGCTTCGCTCTCATACTCTGTGACTGTGATTGTGACTGTGATTACTGGTGATTAGATCTGGACAGAAAAAATGTATTTTCCAAACACACATTTTGTGTGTTTTTATGATGAATAATTTTAGCTATAAGACAAAAGCGGCTAAGTAATTTGTTGACTTCTTGTCTGGTCTTTAATTTTGAGATTCAAATTTGGTTGTAAGTTAATTAAAAAGAGATAGGTAGAGACAAAGACAAATTTCTCCCTCTTCTCGATCTTTCTGCTCTGAGAACATCGAGCTCGCTCTATGTTCTCGCTTCAAAGCGAAACAAACACTTTAAGGATCTCTCGGAGTGTCAATTCAAACACTTTTGAAGCGCTCAGAGATCTCCGATGATCAAATCCAACGCACCAAATGGCGGACCGGTCCCACTTTTCGCTTACGCATGTCGTATCCCTAGGTTGCCAGATCAATGCTGCATATACAGGGTGTCCCGAAATTAGACGGTCATATTTTAACAGCATAATTTACATCCTAAAATAGGAGTAAAAGTTTATATAAACATAGGTCCGAAAATGTTTCTTTTCTGAGATACAGGGTGTTTGAAGTGAAGTCCTGATGACACTCTTTTGTAAATATTTTCTAAACTTTTAAAGATAACTAAGTGAAATTTGGTACAAATCCTTACCTTTTTACGCTCTATTTAATGGACTAAACCCCAGTTTCTGATCATCTTCATAGGTGGGTAAATTAGGGGAGGCTTAGGGTAAAATTGCTCTTTTTTTTTTATTGGCATTTTTTAACATTTTTGACTATAAAATTTGGAAAACCAATGTTTTCTTTATATTAAAGCTATTATTGTTGCATCTCGCTAGGACGCACCATTTTAAAGAAAAAAGCAATTGAAAATTTCATGATAAGTTATTCGAAAGTATAAATAATAATTAGTAGGCCTGTAAAATCAGAAAATTTATTTTTTTTTGTGCTTTGGAAAACCGGTTACTAAAGAAATTTTAGAAAATATTTACAAAAATGTGCCATCAGGACTTCACTTGTAACACCCTGTATCTCGAAAACGGAACGTTTTCGGACCTATGTTTGTATGAACTTTTAATCCTATTTTAGGATGTAGATTACGCTGTTAAAATATGACCGTCTAATTTTGGGACACCCTGTATAGCTTGCTTTCACTTTTTTAAACATTCTCGAACTATCTAGACTTTTCCTTAACGTGGAATGACATTTCCAGACATTTCTGGACTATTCTATCTTCTTTTACTTGTACTTTTACTTATTACGACCGCAGCACACTATACCAGCTGCAGGCTACTGCAGGGTGCTGTGTAACAGTATTAAATACGACAATAAACTACAAGGAACCAAATCATGCCCTTTTAAAGCATTTTGTGATATCAGATCATGTGGTGTTCGGGTATTATTGAAGACCCTATATATATAATAAGATTTGACTGGTTATATTCATTACAGATAAGCAAAGAGAATAAGGTATCCTTTATGTATTTCTCTTTAAAACAACCAGTAAATCATAAAACTTATTCATAAATGAAATTGTCACAATAATTAAACAAAATTTCACATATCTGCTAATTTATTCTGAACATTTCATATCAGCATTGTGACTTGTGACACACTCTATATAAAGTAATTATTATTAAATATGAGTAGGTACGACGATAAACATAGGTGCTGAAATTCTGTTAATTCCATTTAAACAATGTTTAAAAACATTCATAGTTTTATAGACGTACTATACAGTTCCTATCGATCAAAACATTTTTTAAATTAATTTGCGATGGTTGTGAATAATAGAAGATTATTAAATAG